AACACAGAGGAAATCTCAGCATCTGTCTCATCCTAGACGTTGTTTACCGCTGGGACAGTCTGCTCTCTTTCTTCTTGCCACATCTTAATTAGACCACTGTGTATCTGTCTGGGTCTGTGGCCAAGGTGCCCTGAGCCCTCACTCCATGTGCAATAGCTCTTCTAGTTGGCGGTCAGATCACATCTCTCAAAGACGCTTTAGCTTGAAATCTATAGGAGCCATTACCTGTGATTACATTTACGTACAGCTATATTTCTTCAAAATGAAACATCAAATAGCCACGGACTGGAGATAATATGATAGATCAACATCATGTCAGATCATGTCACCTGAGTTAAATTAGTTCACTTTAGGATCAATACTTACCCACAAACATATTAACCTAAGGACTAAATCATCTTTATATTTGGCTATAAAGTAATAAATATAGAGCATTATTATTTTCAATAAACACAAACTGCATCATGGAATGGGACCCTTCCTCTTTATTGCCAACATTTTTTATTCCCCCTGCCATTTCCTCACATGTGTCACTGTATTATGATGCATTCAGGTCCTGTAAAACAAACAAATCACTCCCCTGTCCTCATGTTTCTCTCTAACTACTTTCCTGAGTCACTTTTGCCTTCCCTGTTTACTCTCCCATTTTACTTTCGATGCCTCTCTCGCACACACACACACACACACTGAGTCTCTCCCTGCCAGTATGAGTTAATGAAATTGCAAATTCCAGGCAGCAATTTAGTTTTGAATCAATCAGAGCAGATGTGATGAGCTCCATTTGATTATATATAAAATTGTGATTTGGCTGCAGCCTTGTGGTTATTATAGTCACCACTGATGGGGGTATGAGCAAGCAAGACAGAAGTAGCTATTCACATGACTTGTTTGCTTTTCTTGATGGGCTATTGGCACTAATGTATCAGGGTAGTAGTGTTTACAGTACTGTGAGTCTAAAGGCTTTTTGAAGCCTGTTAAGGTCTTCTAAATATACAGCATCAGATCTTAATAATAGAATGAAAAAATAATATGTATATGACCTTAGCATTTGCTTCTAGCTACCTGATCATTATATCTCTTTCTAGCAGCTACTGTAAATGCTCCGCTATGCTCAATAGCTAGTCACTAACTTTGCCTGTCTGTGGGAAAATGATGAAGATGTTGACACTAAAACCAGACCTGTACACTCTGTAGGGCTGAACTGCTGAGTCAGATGATTTTCTGTGAATTTGTCACTTGATCCAATGTTAATTTAAAAATTACTGATCATAGCTATTGTAGCAATGCAACCTTTGTTTACTTTTAGCTTAACTGCTAGCAAACATTTCTATAATAAATACTTTTGCAGTGGATCCCTGTGATTACACTGTTGCCTGGACGTTCAGTACAATACTGAGGTCTTATAGTATTTAAAAGGATACCTTCCATTTGAAACACTTACTTTTCATATGTATAATATTTTATTCCTGATGTCCTGAAGTAGATAATTAAATCATTCTGCAACTCCAGCTCATACAAAATAAAATACTTCTTGTTGTTTACAGGCGTTATTAAACGGTACTTGAGTATCAGTGGACTCAATCTGTAGGGTTTCTGTATATTGTGTGCTGCAGATACACTAGCGTGACCACTAGTATATCTGCAGCCTTTTTCTCATCTCTTTTTGACTTATATGGGGCAAGAGGGCTGAATGTTACACAAGCTTCATACATGCTGATACATACATACATGCTTTGATAATACAGATAAAAGGCAAAAAATTTAATATATGTGTCTTTTCATATGCTCCAGATTGGTCAGATGAAACGAATTTTTGACCCGTGTATCGCAATGTACATTATCATGAAAGGGCCCTTGCTGATAGGAGGAAGAAATGCAAACAAAATATTATTTATATTATATGGGCTCATAAACTTACTATGAAGTTTTTTATCTACCAGTTTGGTGCAGTCATACGCTAAAAGACAATGAAATAAATAATGTTTAACTATGTGAAGAAGGCCTGGATCACCTATTTACTGTATGTAGTACAACACCATTGTGAAATAAAGCTATCATGCAAAGTTCTTCATCTTTTCCACTGCTTGAGGGGGGGGATGGGTGAAGTCCCATGCAGGCAGGTTCACGTCATCTTGTGAGAAACTATTCCTCTGTTGGTACAATTAACCTTATGTGAAATTAGTGAGCATGAGCACAGTGCTATACTGTCCATTTGTCCCTTAACCTTCCCCAAGCTGTACTGCTGAGAAATGACTTATACTTGACTGAGTCCAGCATATAAATGAATCCAATAATGGCTCACAGATTTCTTATTTATGTGCTAGTTGTTCCTCTTTGCTATTAATAAAGCAGTTTTTCATCTCTGTAAAATATTAATGATTGCAGCTGATGACTTGTCTATATATTGTACTAGGAGTAATAAGAAACATTGTACTACTCATAAAATGATCAATTTGTGATAATGCAAGATCACCCTTAAAAAGGGACCAAGTTAACATAAAGCAGTTCTTTATAGTAATGCCATAGGGGGATCTCAAAGATAAAAGTCTTGGACCTTCAGAGAACACTTAATTAAATGCAGTAAAGAATGTGAGACATACTACAGCAAATTACACAAAACAAACTAGAATAACCGCTTCATGGCTGTATGCCTCCGCCAACCAGTCCACTAACTTTACCATGATCCTGGATAAAGAACCAGCTTCCAGGTGCCTCTAACAGACGCAAGCACCTTGACCTCCTCTCCAGACAAACATGTAGTAGGACAGATGAGTGACATGAACCTGTTTTAAATGACTTGTTAGTGGACTTACTCTAAAATGCTTCAGAACAACTCAACAGTTATCCAAAAGACCAGTGTGAAATCAATAAAGGACCTTCCAGCTTGCCCTGAAGAACCCTTATACAAAGGAAATGCTATTGTCCAGCTTCCAACCCTTTTGACCTTTACTTTAAGGTGTTCAGCTGTGCCCCTTCAAAATTGAGAAACATGAAGAAAAGTAAAGTGAGGGCTCTAAATTTACAAGCAGAACTTTCAGCTTTAAAGTGGTCAGGGTTGCTGTTTACCTATTGCACTGTATATCTGTCTAGAGTAATACTGTCTCAGTGGGTGAGACATGGCACTACATGACATGCAGTAGCCTTCGGGCTTTGTCACCTGGCGGGAGGCACAAATCTCTTCTTCCACCCCGCAACAATTCCCACACACCACAGAGTCTCTGTGACTATGCAATGTTTGGTCAAGGGGTGTATTGTAAGGATCCTGGTGGTCATGTTCCATCCTATTAATTGATGTTACTGCTTAAGTTGGTACAATTTGTATGATCAACTATAAGAAAACATCTTCCTACTCTGTATTACAGCATTCCTGTCCACCAGCTACACAAAGTGTTATGTAATCTAATACAAGACTTAATATTGAGGTGAATCAACACCTCTCAGACTCTCAAACAAAATTCAGTTCCTTATTTGTTTGGTGTTCATGTTGATGCGCCCATTGTTGCAGTTGCCAGATGAGACAGTAGTTTCACCCTTTTACATAAGGCTCTTGTGAAATAAATTTAGGTCAATAAAACACAATCCAACACAAACTGTGTAGCACTCTTTGGGCAATCAGATTAAATACAGAAACTGTGTTCAGTCTGAGGGCCACAATGGGAACAGAATTCAGAAGGTAAACATTGAAAGGGGGCTGGATTGTTGGAAAACAGCTTTTTGATGGTTTTACTTATTTAATAAAGGTCAGTACACGTTCAAGGTTGGTCTTTCACCTCACACATTAAACACGCATTAAGGTAGCAGGTGGACAGATTGAGATGTGGCATAGTTTTCACAGTACTGCAGTCAACAGCAATAATCAATAGTAATCATTTTGTAACAGTCAAGCTACAAAGGTTTTTTGTTTGATGGAATAGCAGATGAAGTCACAGGTTCATATCATAATGACATTCTAACTTGCCAAGTAGATTACAGTAAGTTACTATAGTGTGGGAAAATAATAATAATGTAAAAAAAGAAAATAACATCAGCAGAAAACTGTGTTTGTGTCAGCTGTTTGTTTGTCAGAAGGGAAGGAATATTCAGCCTGGGGCTTGAAGCAGCTCTTTGCTTTGTTGGTGCGGGTCCTAATGTTCCTGCCGTTTTCCTGACGGTGAAGGCCGACTTTTGCTATAGTGAGAGGAAGTTAGAACTGTCCTCTGGAGAGGAAAACCTTCAGGTCAGCAAAGCGTTTGGGATGTATTTGATTCTGCACAAATGGTTTGAGAGCACTTTAATTAGAATGAATGAGCCTTCTTTACTGTTTTCAGTGTGAATTCACATGGGAGGAAAAGCCAAAGCTCCTGGCCACTTGTGGTCTGTGAGGTCATCATCTAATCTGGCTGCAAGACGATATAAGGTGCTGGCAGTCAGACAGACTTCCTCTCAATTGTCAGTCGTACATGTCATGAAATATGACAAAGGTTGGGTGAGCATTCCCTAGTGTAGCCCATGTTAATGTGTTTGAAAATGCATTGATTAGTGGGCCTTAAAGGGGTTATCTTTCTGAACATTTAATTCACTGTACTGTAACTGAGGTCATCATACAGTAAGCTAATGACAATTTCTGTGCCCTTGTTTAACTGCGGACTCGATCACAAGCACCATCTCAGCAGCAGTCGACGCCCGCGGGATATCAGCTGATCAATTGTTAAGTTTGTTGGGTTTATCAGCAATGCAGCTGTGACATTCAACTTCATATAGTCAATGGAGGTGAAGGTCTGCGGGCAGTAAACATAATTTCTTCCATCTTATCAGTGTACTGCAAATAGAGGACGGTGAAGAGAAGGCCCGGGAGGGAGTGTCTGCTGCTGAGATATGAACTCCATTTTGACTTATAGGAGTCAAAATGGAGTCAATGTAAAGAAGACAATCAAGAAAACCGAAAAATGAAAACTTACATTTACTTTAAACATGTTTTTGTACACAAAAATCCAAATGTAAAAAAGGAGACGAGAAAGAGCTTTAAGTAAATTATAACTGAAACTTTATTGACAATTTGGATTAGAAATTAGTTCTGCATCAGATTAACCCATTGCAGTACAAAACAGAAGCAGAATTACAAAGCCACTCAGTAGAGCTGAGGGATGAGGTTAAAAAAAAATAAAATTAAAACAGCTTCTGAAATTACTGGTTGAGGTGTTAGAGAGAAAAGACTGCTGGGGGAAGAAATCAGAAGGAACGCAACAGCAGAGGATAGCAGATGAGGGATGAGAGAAATGCAGTTATCATAACAACCCTTCACAGAAGGAGAGAATACAGACCTCCAGCAGCTTTAGGTGATGCTGCAAAGAATAACAGTCAACATGTGGGAGACGACTAGCGTGTCTTAAAACTGGATACAAAAGAACATTTAGAGTATTTATAATTTTGACGCACCAAAACTTTCAACGTTATCTCCAGCTGATGAGCCATTTTCTCGGGTCAGGTGTGAAATCAAACATTTGAGCCTAATGAGTGCCTTTACACTCTTACAATGCTGCAGAAGACAATGTAGCCAAACTGAATCTGTTGCTCAGATTAAGATGAAAAAATAAATCAAGAATAAACACAGGGCGCTGAATCAGATCCAGGCCAGATGAATCTCCAGGAAATTGGAGAATGCTGCTTGCTGACAGGTTTTTGTAGCTAGAACAAGGACATGCCTTCTTTAGGAGTTGGGAGCTTGGAAGGTCTTGGAGGTGGCAAGCATGGCTCGCACTTTGGCCATCAGATCCTGAAATCAAAGGGGAAATAGATGAGCTTAATACATTTCCGCACACAGCCCAAGTCTGAACAGCCAATCAGAGTGGTCTGTCTTGCTGATGAGGTCTGCCGCCAATTCAACGTGCCGAATCAGCCAAAAACCTGTTGACAGAGTCCGGCTAGTGCCACGCCGCAAAGTTGACGGTGATGGACGGTTGCTGATGGCCAAACGATGGTTGATGGCCAACAGTCGCTTGGTGTGTCACGCTCCTCAGTCCCATCTATCCATTCATCCCAAAACCCAATTTAAAAAACTGCTATGGAAAAGTCTAACTGATCCTACAGTATCCTACAGCTGTGGGGATCGACACTGTGCATTTAAGTTATTGAGAGGGAAAAAAGTCAACAATTATTTTATTTTGAAATAAATGAGAAATGGCATTAAAAGAATCCTGCTAATTCTTATTCCCTGTACATTATTATTATTAAATCAAATTACTGCCTGTAGTGTCAAAGAGCTTTTAGTAATGCTGCTCCCACTGGGAATCAGCTCTCTAGTCTAAAGCGCTATTCAGCTACTAAATGCTTTTAGCGCATTGTTTCATTTGGAAGTTGTTTTGCTTGCAAACCTTTGTCTCTCACCAAGCTTCCCAGATCGGAGTATAAACAGCTACTTTCAGCACACAGTCTTATAAAAGCCAACTGGAATCTATCCAAGTGAAACGACAGAGAGCAGAAGTCAGAAGAGGTTCTAACATTTAGCAATTTTTCTCCTAAGTTCCCAACCACCACATCATGTTTAATGTTGATATCAAGTTGAATATCAAAGTAACTGGCTTGTTTGTTTTTGAGTACGCTTCCTGATCTCTAGCGATGAGGAATTCCTTAATACGTCTTTAAACACAGCACATATTTTAAATATGGAATAACTAGAAGCACACAAACTACTCTGACCTCAAATTTTGCATCTATATGCAGTTAATCTCAGTTTCAGCAGCTGACATCCTCAGCGGCCAACAGCAAATGTATTATGTAAACAATTCAAAGACAAGGGGGGAAAAAAACAACTATCATCTGTAGAAAACTGCAGCTCAGCGGGAAAATAGTAGGGAGTGAATTTTTAGTTTTCGGTTTCCTTTCCTTCTCTCTTCAGGTAGAAATGTAAATGTTGCTGACCAAGGGGCAAGCAGCTTGCACTGCTGAATGGAAGTGTTAATTTGCCTCCCAAGTGTGATTCATACACGCATGGACACGTCCACCCTTGAGCTCTCCTGACAGATGAGACAAATTAACAACTGTAATCACAGAGGGAGAGGAGCTGTCATATCAAATCACTCAAAAGGCTGTTTCCCTCTAAACCCTGGTGTATCTGAATGTACACACACAAAGAAGTGGTCACAAAATGTGGCCAAGAATGCTTCAAATTATTATCAAATGTGAGGGAAGTAGCTCAACTAGTGTTGGATTCATTACAAATCACATTACAGCTGTCAGGCACAGGATACATAATAGAGAAAATGGATTAAGCTCACAAAGGGTACCGATAAACAGCATGTAGATTGTAAACAAATATTCCTCATCATCCCACATTTTATCAAACAAAAGATGACATCTGAAAATTTAATAAACCAAACTTACAGCTCAGTCTGAATGAGAAACAATGAAACCCACACTGATCTCTTATCGCAACACAGTAAGTGTGCAATGACATATTTATATCGGGTGTAAAACACCTGCGGTAAGAAGTAACAGGCAATCCACCTGATCAGCTCTGCAGGTTTTCACAACCTTTGTGTTTCTAAGTCTGCAGTGGTGTCACCTAATAGAAGATATACCAGTTTTCCCAATTATGTAGCCGTACAATTTTCATGAAATCAAACCTTGTTGCTGACACTATTTACTGTCAACAACTTATCAATCACTCCCCACAGAAAAGCTTACTCACTGAAAACTTTGGTTTCTGTTAAAAGGAAGTTAACTTCATGAGTAGTTTAGTAGGGGCGACTTGGGCTTAGTCCAGGCTCAAATTACATGACTATTAAAATCCTAAACCAGTCTGAATGCAAGTTGCATCACACATTTAAAAAGAAGTTTCACATACTGGCCTCCCACTTGAAAACATACACACTGCAATGTCAAAATATTAAACTGGAACATACTATTAGGAATATCATGAGGGAGCCTGAGCTTCACCTCTATCTCACATATATATTGACATTTTCCTGGGAGAAGTTTTCCTTTTAGCCCCAAGTGCAGGTCTAAAAGCTTCTCTAAAAATGCACAAAGTAAACGACAACAAACATGCAAGAGAGAAAGAAGAGGGGACAAAAGACAGCAACAAACGCAAGGAAAATGAGAGATAGTCTGAGGCGAATAGCAACCAGGCACCCTCATGGAAAGAGACACCATTAAGCAGATGAGGATGTTCTGAATTATTCAAGATGTGTTTGTAAAACATCACAAATGGGGTATAAGCAGTTAGCGGTTCTGAATGTTGTTGCAACAGCAGTGAACAGCATGTTTCAAGAGCTAGCTTATGTTGCTGTGGTGAGACAAAGGCAGGAGACGGGCTTGTGTTTGTGTGACACAGTGAGAAAGAAAAAGAAAGATGCTGTTATTGTTGATGAGAGAGACGAGATGTGTCGTGTTTGGTTTTGTATCTGTGGTGCATCTGGTCAGTAAGCTTTCCCAAACACAGAGGCCTGTGGTTAGAAGAGAGAATATGCTCCGAATTCTGCGTATCACAGTGGAAGCTGTAGTAGTGTCGTCACGGCAGCCTCTTTACATTCACGCAACACGTTTCTCGTTTTTAATGTTCCACGCATTAATTTTTCAGAGCTAAACCATTTACTTACCAGAGCTTACTGAAGCTATAGTTCAACATTTCCTGTTTATACCCACACACTGGGCCTGACTTTGTGGTTTTAATACATCTAGTTGCACAGTGGTTGCATGAGAAGCAAAACGGCACAATATTGCATCACTTCATGCAATGCACTGAGAAGTGAAAAAAGCACTGCTCATTTAACAGGTGAGATGACACCTAAAAAAAAAAAAAGAAATGAAGATAAGCAGTTTTAAAGATCTTTGTATTGTTTTCCCCTCCTTCCATTTAGTTGATAGCTTTTTGTCAATCATACTAAAGACTGTTCTTCCTGAGCTGGTACGTGTGCACGCATTTGATTGTGCTGCATTTCTGAAAGCAGCAGGATGTCAGCCATAAATTGGACATTATAATTTTGAACAGTGTGGAACAGAGACAACATGCACGGGGGTCAGAATTTATTGGCCAGGTGTGTGTCAGACTTACATCAGGAGTAATGGGAACAGTGGAGTTTTAAGTATATGAATGCCTGTGGTTTTACGTACAAATCTAACGTTTGATTTTACATATACTTTTGGCAACGAGGTGCATTTTTTATTTGTAAAATAAATGGGCAGGCAAACAGCGGTTTCAGTTGGAGAGATCCTAGTTGCTCCTCTCCTGTGTCAAATTTGGTATAAACAACTGTCAACAAGCGGCTGCATGCAGAGCCTAGTGTGTGATTGCAGTAATTTTGTGAATGAAAGTGTCTATGCTGTCTTTGACACTGTGGTTTCTGTGAGCCCTTGATGGCAGCTACAGTCATCCAGTAAAAAAAAACCCATCACCACATGCTTTTGTTGAACCAGCAATCACTGATTGCTTTGGCTACTTTGGGGCAGCAGAAAAAAAAAAGTTGTGAAGTTGATGTCAGGTTAGCAAACAGCTGCTGATTGACACATCCAGCAGTTGTGAAGTATTATAATTCAGAGTGTGAATTTGTGTTTTGGTCAATTGGTGAATGCCAGTCCAATACTCATTCTCTGTTAGCTCTGGTTTTGGTCTCTCTCAACTCCTAAAGAAAAGATTGGCTCTTTAGCTGCTAAATGCTTCACTCTTCCAGACATGCTCTCCTTTCCATTAATCTGATGGCATCTGAACATGTCTGATTAAGCACCCTGATCACTTTTCTGTAAAAGTCTCCATAGCAATCTTATTGGACCGACCTAGTAACATTTATGTATCACTCTCAACCCAGAACAAGTCTGAATTGCATGCAGTCACAATAACAGATAGACGTGCCCAAGATTAACAACTATAAGAAAAGATTAACAATCTCATGTACAATATATGGCAAATATCATGTATGTACTGTGGCGCTCTCTGTCATGGTTGGTGTCTGAATGAAGCCATGAGGAGCGTTAATATAAGAACAACCTATGTCTTAATGACAGAAACCTGTTGCTTTAACAGACTGATGTTATGTATCCCATGTCTGAAAAGGGCTTTTGTTCTCCAGCTGCTAACTGTGTCTGGCTGCCTTATAATGATAAGCAGGGAGTGTGCACTGAGTTTTTAAAGCTGCCTGCTGAGACTAAAAACGAATGAATGCAAAGAGAGTGGCCAGACAGCTAAAGGCTGTAAAGCTGAGGGGAGCTACAAATAATAATTCTCTAAGTTCATCACTATGATGACACCTTTCACATTGTAATAAAAAAATGATTAGAGCAGCTTTAAGGTCAGACTACAAACAACAACAAAAACCTGTTAATCCAACTGGTTTGGCTTCTGTGAAGATGAGATGCTGACTCATTAATAAGCTTTAAGTTTTGCATGAACAACTCACTGAACTTAACCACCAGGATATCCCTTTTTTGTCTGAATTTACAAGTGCTGGAAGACAAACTGTTCAAGGGCAGCACTTTAGCTCTGCATCCTTTCTCAACAGTGAAGTGGAATCTGAAGTGCCATAAGATAGTTTTGGTAGCCAGGTAGCAAGTTTGCCAAGGCCTCTGCTTTCGCCTGGCTGCCGAACTGATATCAAACTGTATTTTGCATCTTTCCTCCAAAATTCTTGGCCCCGCTCCCAGAAAGAGTGCAGGAGGCGGAAGTGCAATTTCAACCAGGATGAGTTGCTGCAGTTGTCAGCATGAAAACATTTGTGCGTTAAAACACTAGTGCATGACTAATATAGTACTGACATCACATGTTCCTTGGCAAAGAAGGCAAAATACCAAGAGGTCAGAGAATCATTAGATCCAAAGACAGAAGACACTATTCAAGGTTCAAACAAACTACATATAATAAGAAATAACATATGGGCTGGCCACTAAAGCACAATATGTTCAGCTACAAGCACCACAACCCTATAAGGTCCTTCCACGTTTCATGGTAGAAACACAGAACAACACTCAGCACTTGTATTGGGTAGGCTGTAAAGTTCAGCAATGGATATATGTGGGATAAAAGTAAAGAACAATACCTGAGTTATTTTGGACTGAACAGAAGATATTATGGATGAGGACACTGCCTTGTCTTTCTCCTGAGAACCATCCCTGCAGAGAGTAGAGAGAGGGAGAGACAGAGGGGGAAACAAAGAAAGAGAGGCTGAAAACCAATCATGTTAACAGGAGACAATATGCAATATTCATATCTTCTGAAATGTTCAAAGTTGGACAAGCATCTAGAGCAGTAAACTGTAGAAGAGAGGAAAGGGGAAGAGAAATGTGACCTGTAAAAACAACAACAACAAAAAAAAAAGGTATCTAAGCCAAACCCAAACCACGATGTCCACAGTATCACATGCAGCCAGGTATAGAATCATGCAGACAAACAGCCAATGTGCCATCATCTTTATGAAGCTGTCCAATGCTTTTAACGTTTCTACTATCTAATATTTCATAATTTATCAAGGGATTTTTAAAATAGAAAAAGTCGTGTGCGTCAAGCTGACTGAACACAACAGCTGACAACAAAGTGCAGAGCGGACTGCAGACGATCTGAACTTTGTTGTCAGGCTTCAGTCCACTGGACGAATGTGTTATCTAAATATGTCAGTCTATCTTAGGTATTAACACGCCGTTACACACCCATCCCAACTGCTATAGTGCCATTCAATGTAAAAAGTAAACAGCACTCCATCCATTCACACAGTTTATTGGTGAGTTACCAAGTCAGACAATGCACAATCTTTGATTAAAATAGTGAAAAACAAAAACCAATCTCCTTCAGGAATGATTTTGCTTATGTGGTTGCTTGACTGATTGCACCTCTCTGAAAAGACAAACCAATTACTTTGTCATTCAGGGATATTTTTGGTGGAAAGCACCAACAACAAATCAAAGATTCACTGACTTGAATGAGTGACAGACACAGACATCCATAATTTATTGAAACTCATTTACTGACTAGGTGGAACGGCTCCTCCAATTCTGACAGCTTGTATTTGGAAACTTTGGAACAGAATCGTGGATAAATACAGGCAGGATTCAATTTTACAAATATGCATTTTCCATCTAACATCTGACACTCGACTCTAGAGAACTGAATTGCTTCAATATGTACAAAAACATGAGAGCTGCATAAATTACCACCGACATTTGTGTGCAGTAACATGACCCCACACAATGTGAAAGGCATTTCTACAACCTGCAGGCTGATCTGTTAACTGCCACTTTCTACTTCAGGTCTACTCTTTGCCTTTGTTTGCCGACCATCCCTCACTCTAAAACAATCCTCTGCACACAACTTCTTTTGCAGCAGTATGCTATTTAGTGAAAAGTGAATTTGACTCAGAAAGAATTAACTACACCCAATGTGCTTCAGTAAACTAGGTACCATTTAACTTGCCATGTTTACACACTGATTTTTTTTTTTTTCTTTTGTTGGTACATACAAAAGGAATGAATTTCTAGAACACACAATGGCCTGGTGCAGTAAATGGCTTGCCCAGTTTGAGTCACTGTAGTAATGTGGATGCACGTTTGGGGACAAACAGGGAGGGGAAGATGATGGAGTGTATTATTTTGCTGTCTGTGTCGCCCTCCATTTTGCCCTCTAGCATTCAAAAGTTAATGTATGCAGCATTAATAGTTTCTTTGCTGGAAATACTTTAAAAACAGCAAACCAACACCGCCCGAGACATCAGAAGAGATTATGTCTGTTGCCATCGATGCCTGCGTGCCTTCAGATCTTGCAGGTGAAAGATGCTGGTTCTAAGCCATCACAGGTTTCTTCTGTCCATACTGGATTTAGACCGAAGCCTCGTTTTAACCACTACAGTTTCATATTCACATAACTAGCACTACAGTTGTTTTATACACATCATCTGGATGATACTGCAGTTTCTAATGATGGTACATAACATATGGCGAAAAAAAATTACAAGATTAAAGAAATTAATTTTCATTCTGATGTAGTCTCCTGAGTTCTGAATGGGAACACAGCGCATTAACAAACCTGTTACAGATTGAAGACTAAAAATCCTTTCTTTTTCTATTTTATTCATATCTCTGGCCATGCGACTAACTGTTTAGCGGGCTGATGTCACTGGAAGATTTCTTTAGCTGCAGCTACCTAGCTATTTAAGATGATGTTAGCTCCATGAGTGAAAATGCTGTCTCTGTCTGTCTGGTTAGCTTAATTCCAGCCAACTCATTTTAAGAACCCTTTAATATGTCTTAAACACGATGGCCATATACTAAATATAATGCTAAAAGACTGATTATTTTGTTTCATGAGAGACAGATGCATCATATGACTGTAGGCAACAATCTACTGGTCTAAGTAAGACGGATTTAAAAAAACACGTCGTCTCTATTGTGGGAATCTCCTCATTTGTCAGCTTTATGCCCAAATTCTCCTAGTGGCCCTTTGTTTCTGTAACCAGTTAGATCTGGGAAAGTGATCTAAATGCTTAGGTGGTTGATTGACAGGCCTGTAGCGATCTACCTGGAGTGGGCCTGGCTGAAGGTGGGGCTAGCTGGTAGGGACAAAAGTCTGCGAGGTGATGTATAGGGAGAGAGAGATGAACCCGCAGTTTGCATCTGTCCTGAGGATGACAAGGAACTCCTCTTTTGATCAGGCGGGGACCTTGCATACAAATGCAAGAAGGAACAGGCGGTGCCAGATTCAGGCAGCAAAACTACACAACACACAATATGTCAAGGGGGTGGAGTATTCTCTGACGGCAGGACTTGTGTATTTAGCAAAGCCCTTCAGTAGTGATTTGGGGATTAAGTGGAGATGCACAACTCTTCCCCTTACCACAAACCGATGACATGCGTTGTTCGGGTTTACCTGGATCTCATGCTGGAGCTGCTGCTGGGATGATGGCGCTCCCGATCTCTCTCCTCACGTTTCCTGTCTGATGAGGTTCCCCTCCTGTTTCTTCTCCCTGAGGAGCGCGAACGGGATCTGGCCAGACAAGAGGATGAAGAAAGTGTAATATGGGAAGAAGTTATTAAATTACAGAAGAGAGGGCTTGGAAGATGAGCTGATGCACTGAAGTGAAAGAATAGGAATAGAAGAGGACGAAAAGCAGAGTGAAAGTAAGACAACAACAGCGGTAAAGTGCAAGAGAAATAAACACAGCAAACAATCAGGATGGTTTTTCAAGCAGCTTAAAACCAAGAACAGCCAGTGAGGGCTTGAAAAATGTTTGAGTGAATGTGGAACAATTTTCATTAAGACATTTAAAGACGCTGTGAAACTGAGCCACAGGGGAAAAACAAATTTAACGTGATTTACTTTAATAAAATTCTACAGGTGGATTCTTAATATGTAAACACTGTTTATAAACTAGCCTCTAAAGAAAACAGTATTAAATATTTCTGGGTAATATATGAGATTAATTCACTTAGATTTCATTCCACAAAGGGCAGGGCTAAATTTATTTTCTTCCACCAGCTAATACAGAGAGTGTGTATGAGAGTTACAACCATCAAATAGCCAATGTTAGAAAAGGAAATTATACCCCTTTTCTACAAACAATGCCAGACTGCAAAGGCCGGCCGAGTTCATGTCGGCCTGTGCTGGGCTGGCAAAACAAAGCAATCTGGTCAGTACTGTTCACTTCAGCCCGACAGATGAACGGCACAAACAAAGCAGCCAATCTCTACCTTGATCATTTCCTCTCAACCCTTAACCTCTGTTTTATTATTCTTATTATTGTTGTGTTTCAATCCAAATGTTCTTTCTCATACAATCGTTTATTCCTGTCTTTTCCTTTGCTATTAAAAGAGGTATGAAAGGATAGAGGGAAATAAAATATTATGTTCCTCTAATTATTTTTGTCAAGGTTCAGCTGAAGTGGAATATAAAAACAAAGATGTTTAATCATGTTCTCAGATTACATGCCTTTGACAGCAGCTGACCAATCACAGACCTGCTTCTCCTTTTCCAATAGAAAACTAATACTGTATATATTAATTGTGGAGATATTAAAAGGCTGGTCAAGGTTTGGGAGGTGTGCTCAACTGCAGAGAACATCTTAAGTGATAATTGGAGCCAGCAAACAAGTGAAAACATTTGTAAAGCGGCAGGGGCACTTGGACAGTTATGTAGCAGAGACTTTATTTCAGGATCTGATGTTACAGTACTAGCGTATTTTCTTCAGAGCTTAAAGGACACAACAACTTACATCATATATTAGGGTTCACGGACACCGTGAAGTATAAGACGGTCCAAGTGCTGTGGCCTCTGTGCAAGTACTTTGTCTTGTTTGCTGTCTACAATTATAATGCTGGGTTAGTGAGTCTGTATTGGCATAAAACAAATCTGGATTTGATTAGGTTTAGATCTAGCAATGTGAGTCTGTGAGTAAAGCAAAGTGTTGTTGTGCGTTCTGCGTACAGGGGCTGTGTCTGTAGTGTCTTACCGGGACCTGCGGGCTCTCCTGTAGGCACTGGGAAGGGAATGTCTGCTCTTGGACCTTGACCGTGACCTCGATTTTGACCTCCTCTTGTGTTTTTTCTTCTTTTTGTCTTTGTCCCTCCCTTTGATCCTGTCTCTGTCTCGATCTCTGCCTCTCTCTCTGTCCCTGTCTTTGTCTCTATCTGATCCTCTGGAGTTAGGGTAATAGGATGAGGAGGATGGAGCCTCCTTGCTGCGATAAGCTCCTTGGTTCTCCATGGTGGGCCTTTGATCATGCAAATATGCAGATGGTGCAGAGAACGCTTGAGAAGGTGGAAGGTCAGACAGAACAGAGAGAGCTTCTTGCATCTAGAAAGAAAGGATGATTGAAGAGGACAGAGAGGAAATAAATCAGTGACTGTTACAATCATGCTGGACCTTCAATTTTTAATTGGTTTCAACAATAAAAGAAAAGCATGTATTAATTAGATTAAACAAATAGCCTGTCTCTTCAACATTAGGGATACTGAATATATACAGGGCTCTTTACGTTTTGCACAGTATACTGTATTTTACATTCAATCTTACTTGACTTGATAATGACTGATGATACATTCAATCAGGTGCTCCTGCTAGATTTTTAAAATGTAAATATTTACTGTCACATACATACATAGGCTAGAAAGACAAAATATATTTGATGTTGTCTTGATATAAAGAAGTAAAGATGTAGCTACAACAACACAAGGAGGCACATAAGGATTTTTTTAGTAAGTTCATTTTTGTGCACTTTTGCCTTTATAGATTTTTTAAAGCTATAATCACAAGTGCGCTTAAAGGGCCACAAAATCATAATCGAATGGTTCAGGCAAAGTTAAAGTCCTTTGTTCTCTTGGGGAATTATTACTCATATTCTTCCCTTACTCAGCTGATTAAAAGATGGCACAGGGCACGCAACACAGTGCAGCCCTCTGGCTACACACTAAGTTACAACTGTCAGCTGCAAAGTCCCTCTAATTACCCAAATGTGGATCTGTCTGCTCATATTAGATTGGTTCCTACTGAAAAGTTGGCCTCAGTCCATCAGTGGAATAAACATGATGCTAAATCTTCCAAGGTCAGATTTTATCTTCCAGGGTTAGGCCTTAGAAAGCTCCTGGGGCCACCGTGCTACACACAGACAGGTGACGGGTTAAAGAGAAAACTTGAATAAGTGTTTTTTTCCCCCATCTATAGGGCATGAGGGGTCAGTGAATGCCTTGATGAGTGTGAAAATGACAAGAATCATATGCTGCGGCCTTCACAATCACCAGATCTCAAGCTGACTAAACACCTATGGGAGTTTTAGGACCGACGTGTTAGACAGCGTCTCCATAACCATTATCAAAACACTGAATGAGGGAAAATGTTTTGGAATAATGGTGATCATCCCTTGGAGAGTCGATGCCAAGGTGCACTGAAGCCGTTCTAGTGGCACACAATGGCCCAATACCTTACTAAGACACTTTACGTAGGGGTTTCCTTTAAACTGTCACCTGCCTATGCATAAAGGTGTGTCAATAGGGACTGCATATACATGCTACATTAACTTAAATGATATGGCTGCCCAAGTGACGAATAATGAACATGAAAGCCAGAAAGGAAATGAATGTGTGGTTGTGCATATGTCATACACGGTCTCTAACAGCTCCCAAAGTTGAACTTAATAAAAATGCTGTTCACTCTCCCATCTTCAGTCTCTCCAATTCAATAACTCACACTTTCATCCATGTGCTAATATTGGCAAGAAATTGATGGAGCATAAAAGAAAAAGACAGGGGCAGAAAGAAATCCAGACAAAAAGGATGATGATGAAAGAAGAGGAAAGGAGACGGCAAATGAGGTACACAAGTAAAGGAGGAAAAGGTGCTCACGGTGGAAGACGAGCATCTAAAAACAGGCAGAAAAGTACAGAAAGGGAAGAATATTTATTACACCTTTCTGTTTGGACGCTATCTGGTGTCTGGGCTAAGGGAGAGATAATGAAATGATAGCAGGCATGGTTTGGGTTAAAATTAGGACTGACAAACTGGAAGCTTATCCCAAGAACAGGCCCAGAAAGTGTCTGCCCTCTCACACCTGCTCTGGCAAGATACGGAAGTTTGGACAGTAAAAGCAGCAACAATAAAAAGTTATAATGTCGGGGTATAAGAGGGGAGGGGAGGAGAGAGGGAGCAGAATAACCCAGAGCAACATTAAAGCTAAAAATACAGACACTTCAGTGCTGTTGATGTGACAACCCCAGCAGCATCTTTCAGACAAACATGCTGTTGCATACGCTTACATTTGAATAAGCACCTGTGTCACTTTTACATTAAAGTCACAGCACCAAACTTACTAGGCCCTACCTACTAACATCCCCATTACACTGTCTGAAATCAGATTAACATAAAGGCTGCAGCATGGTCTAATAGTGATTAAACAAAGGTTTAACACTTGTCTTTAGGTCTGATTAATATCACAACAATAAGTGGATCACTTAAATAGCACCTCCCAAACAAAACTAAATCTGATTAATAAACCATGAGACACTGAATGATCCCATTTTAGATTAAGGGTCATCTTCTCAAGTCAGATTAGTTTAACAAACAAAAACAACTTCCACAGTACTCGATTCTACGTTTCAGCTAAGCTGACAGTATGGAGGAAATATCCAGGAAAAAACTGTTTACAGGATGCAAAAAAATAAAAAATAAATGGGAGTACTCAGTTTCCTTCTTTTCATTCTAGGTTTGTCCACTGTTGCGCATTATAAAATAGGCTAGGCAACAGAAATCTCTAATGAATGAGTAAATGTATTAGGAGGATTTATCAGAATTTACTGTGAGAAACAGGCGAGCTCCCAGCATGCACACATTGCTCATTAATTAGGGCTTGGACAAAAAAAAAAAAAAAAAGTTTTAAAATCCATTACTGATGGCAGCCTGTGAGAGAACTGAGAACACCAATATTTCCATACATGTCATTTGTCTCCAATTCACTGCTCTTCTCGGTGGTGCAACTGCTCCCCTCCTTGGCATTATGGCTATTACTGTTGGGTCATGTCTCAGTGAACCCATAAGAAATATTTATGTTAAAGTCACCAGTGTCGGGCTGACAAAAAGCACAATTTTAACAGAAAAGAGAGGAAGACGGAAAGAGGCCTAGTCTTGCACAGCTTATTCAGACATTTCTGTGTATTCATGACAGCCTACACTAGCTCCTACAGCGCTGCTGCTGCTGCATAAACAACATGATGAGCACCTATGGGAAACACAGCTTACAGATCAGGTCATTTTGTCAACCCTACAAAGACATGGCATCAGCACTGACATCCATTTTCAAAACTATCTAGAGTGCAGTCTTACACCATCCAGTTTTCTAGTCTTCTAAAATCCAACATCAGCTTCTAAAATGCTGCTGCCAAAATATTCACTACAACTAGAAGATTTAATCACCTTAAATCCAGTCGGAGCTCCCTTCACTTGCTCAAAGTTCTGCTAACATTTGCTGTTCAAAGCGTTTTGTCTAATGAACAAATTGTCTTATCTTACTTCAGCCCTGATTGTGTATCCCCCCTTGTGCCCTCTGATAGTGGAATGTTCATTACCTTACTATTCCTTGAACCCATCATCTCACATTTTCCCACTGAGATGTCTGTATCACAACCTGACACACTGTTGCAATTTGAGAGCAAATTCTCTGGACATCTTCAAAGCAAACTCAAATGTTATATATTTTCTCCTCAGTGACACACAGCACCTGGTAGCATGAACATCAACTAAGTTTACCATCTCTAACTTTGAGTATATTCAAATACAACATCCATTTATTCATCAGTAGGGCAATGACCTATTCCTTCAAGAAAGGTAACACTCTAATGGTCACTGCTGAAGTCACAGAACATCTGGAGAAGAGTGACAGAGCTGGTGCAGGAGTGACAGGAGCCTGCCCACTGCCACCTGGTCTAACAGGCAACAGGCCAGTTCACTATGCATCAGTTGGGCTCACATGAGGCGCTGACATTCAACATCCATCAAACGGACAGGCTATCTACACATCAAATGACCACCTCCAAGTCTTATTTACACTTTAAAGTATTCAAGTCTTTTTTGTCTGTTTAATATGACAAACAAAAGGCTTCTAAAATTTGCATTAGTGTACCCCTGTGAACCTTTTCAAGGGAGAACTTTAAAAGAGATACCGGGAGTTATCTCTGCGACAAAGAACTGGGAAGTTGGTGGGCAGAAGAAAGGCACCTACATTTTTAGCTTTCTTTATCAGGAGTCACAGTGGTTAGTTTTCCACCTCCACAAGGTTTGCTCTGAGCAGTTAATAGTATAAATATATTAGCTAAGGTGGTTTTGGTGCGTGGCATTTTCTTCTTATAATGCACAGTGAACTGTCCACAGGGAACGCTGTCTCCAACGTGCTCACAGCATTCTTAAGGACTCCTCTCACCCTACAAACTGTCTGACCTCCTGCCCTTTGGGAGGAGCCTCCAGACCAAAACCAGTAGACTCAAGAAGAGCTTCTTCCCCACAGCTGTCTCCTTACTGAACTCTGTCCCCTGTTGAGCCCCCACTGCCCTCCTCTATACCACTACACACACCTCACCCCTTCCCTCACCCCTTCTCATCTCTCCTCCCGGGACTAATGCAATCCAATTCTGTTACCTGTAACAGTGAAGTGATCTGTTAATTTGCACCTACTCTACTCACAGGATACTGCTCTATATTCATTTGTGCACTGTTCATATCCAGATACTGTATATTTATCTTTATCTTTGCATTATTTACATCCATTGAACTGTTCACTCATGTAACTTATTGTGGTCTTCTTATTCTGCAGTTTCATTCCATCTCATCCCATTGCACTAGTGTTCCTTAAGCTTAATGTACCTCTCCGTTACTTGTAATTTGAATCCATAGTCTGTTCTACATCGTACATTACCCTACATACAGTATCTTACTCTGAATATCAATCGTACATATCCATCGGTACATTAGTTCTGACTGTACAGGCTGTAGATAGTGCACGCTCTGCACTGCTGTTATTGCACTTCTGGTTAGATGCTAAACTGCATTTCGTTGCCTTGTACTTGAACATGGGTAATGACAAAGTTGAATCTAATCTAATCTAATCAAATCAGAATTACTGAAATCAAAATCATGAAATTAGGAAAAACCCACCATCTCTGCTTAAGATTGCCTTTGCAGACTCACCTCAAAAACAACAGCTCTATAAAAAATATAATATGCTTTACCTGTGGTATATATTCAAGATCTTTGAGTATATGCTGTTTACCAGTACTTCCTTCCAAAGAAATTCTTTCAGAAACCTGACATTCATCTCTTAATGTATGACTGTGTGGATATACTGTAGAAAATGAAGACTTCTATCAATAATAAAAGCTGATACAACTGTAGGTGCCTGTGACTTCATTTACACTTCAATAAGGAACCATTGATTTAGTATAGAGTTACTGAACCAACCAGCATTAACTAATCTTCATTTCTTATTACACCATTATTCCATTTGCATTATATTAAGGAGCTGACAGTGGTGATACACTTGTGTACAAACCTCTGACTGGTAGTGTATTTTAGCTCCTGACATAATGCTGTGTAATCTGCCAACTCCACTATGTGACCGAAAATGACATTTCAGTGGAATTTATAACATGATTTAATCAGAAAATGAAATGAAAATGACAAACATTGGCTCACCTTTATCAATCATTCACCTACCTCAAGTTGTGCAGATGAGTCCAGCTCCGCTCTCTTGGCTTCAGGCTCTCCAGTGAAGGGGCTGCGGAGGGTCTGTAGGAAGAGCGCTGCCTTTCGCTTCCTCTCTGCCTGTAGCTGTTTCTCCTTGGACTCCTTAGAAGCCTGGGCCAACTTCTCCCTGGCTGCAGCTGCTAGACGATCCTCTAGTTTCTGCTT